CCCCTCCCTTTTTTCTCTTTAACAAAGTCTCTACCTAGAGATAGGCCTCCCTGTTGTGTCGCACCCACCTGCTCTAAGCTACACAGCTGCCTTCAAAAGAGTTTCTGATACTATTAAACCAATCTGTGTTCCATTACAGTCGTTCTGATATTCTTCCCTGTCTGCTTTCAATGGCAGATTATTTTGCTGTGAGGAGCTAATAAGCATCCAGCTCTTAACTTGTTTCAATTCTCACTCAAATGTAGTGATTTCGTCTCTCCCGCTCCTCTCACAACACAGAGGGGTTTTTGCTGATGTGTGTTCACCCCAAACCTACCTGCACAGCTCTGTCAAACCTCCTCAAACTCACTTCCATTCAGATGAGAAACCGCAGAGGAGTGGAGAGTCTGGGCTGGTTTTTCCTTCCGTCACATCTCATCTGTCAAGAAGCACAGTTAGGAAATGGGATTTATAATTCCCCCTCCCACAAGCAAGTCAGGAGCTTGTGAACACCACCACCACCACCAATTAGTTACCTGTGTTGATGCTTTTGTGTTCTTCAGGAAACCTGTCATAGGGAGAATTGAAAAGAAGAACATAATGAACCCAGAAGACATGGCTGGAAAGAGGTGAGGAGCAGGTCAAGCTGGTAATGGAGGATGTAATTCCCTCCTTGAACTGACCTGGAATCTAATCTAAGTCAATGTACACCTTGGAAATCGATGGGTAGAGGATGAAGCATTCCCTGCAGTTAAATAGAGAAGGTTGGGTGTGTCTTCCTGATGGTGAGATTTGACTGTGGAATAAGCTCTCAAGCTGCAACACTTGAAGGTGCTGGAGTTACACTGGGCAAGGAGAATCACACCCTAGGTTGAGAAGGCTACGGTGGTGTAGATGGGGACCTACCTCTGGCCCTGCTGAAGGGAATGAGGGAGGCTCCTGCAGAAACAAGGCCTGGCCTTTGTTGATGCAGTTTAGTTTCTGTGGACCGTGCTCACTGGTTTCTCATGACTTCTCTATGTCTGGGGTGTGATCAAACCCATGGGTGGCCTGGCCCTCCAATCAGCAGTGATGGATTCTGTGCTTGTTTGTACCTCTGAATTAAAAAGTGTTCAATTTCCATCTCTTCTAATACCAGTGACTGAACCAAAAACCAAACTGTATCCACAGAACGACCCCTGTAGCTGGGTGGCAGAGGTGAGATTCTTGCAAAACAGACATAATGATGTCTTCTGCATTCCCTTGAAATGTATCTGCTGCCTGAAATGGCACAGAGCTATAGTTGTGAGAGTTATTTGGACATACTTAATCAGAGTAACTTCCACTTAGTTATCAAACATGGGAGCAAAATGAGCTTTGCTTATAAAAAAACCCCAAACTCCATAAAGCTCTGTCCCCCATTGCTCTCCATTCTTTTTTCCTTCCTGCACAGCACTGAGCATCTCCCATGGATTATGTGATTATTCAGAAAATTGACTCTGCTCCCATTGAAGGTGATTACATCCCCCATGCTGAAATCCACAAAAGCACAATCAGGTACACAACCAAGGTAGTTTTAAGCATTTGCATCTTACACAGGTCGGCCTGCAAAGCACCTGTAGTTTTTCTGGCTGATGGGAACCCTTTGTGGGCATAGGGGGTAAGGGAAAAATCAGTGAACTTTAAAAAGCAACAGAAAAAGGAGAGCATTTTTTTCTGATTGAGAAAAATCAAGTTTAATGAACTGAGGTGGAATCATTTCCTCAATTTGCTTGGGCATTTGAAGTGAAAAGCACAGTGTAACCTCTGCTTGCAAATCACTGTAAACATTTCACTCACTTCCTAATTCATGGTAAATGGAACAAAAGCTGGACTATGGAATACTAATCAAAGATCTCTCCTTGGAAGTCAGACCCTTTGTCTTCTCTTAGTTTTTGGGGCCTGAATGTCTAAGACTTTACAGATTTATATATATATATATATGTATCTGAATGAATATTTATGAAGAGCTTGCTAGTGACAGACCAGGCTGGCCCTGCAGGCCCAGAGGAATTAATGTAAATTCCAGTCAACCATGAAAACCCACTAGAATTGAACTGTATTTCAGCATGGTGGATAAAGCACATCAAAGAGCAGAATTTCTATAAGATAATTACACACAATGCAACTCTAATCACAGAAAGACTGTGGATATTGCTGATAAAGCGTAATAAATCTTTTATGACTACGCCTTGTTCTGCTGAATCAGCTTTCTGGTTCTGCTGCCCTGAACTCCACGTTCTGGCTCTTATTTATATAGTTACAATTGTGAAAAACACCTCAACTAAGGATTTACTGCAGCTTCTGTGAAAGGTTTGAGCTTATTTGGTTGTTTTGTTATTGCACTTGTTGAATTGCAGTTACATCAACAACAGCGAATACTCGTCTCTGCTGCCTGGCAAGTGGGCAGGAATAAATTGTGTCTAAGCTGAGGAGCCACCTTGCTGCTGCAGTTGAAGAAATGGGAATCATTTCAGTTTTGACACTTTGGAGCATTCGGAATTCAGGCTCTGTCCCTCATGCTCGACAGCACCATGAGTTCATCTCACAGGCTCACAGAAGGGTTGAGTTGGCAAAGACCTGTGGAGATCATTTAGTCCAAACCCCTTGCTCAAGCAGGGCCACTTAGTCCTGAGGACCATGTTTGCTTGGATGTCTCCAAGGATGGAGACTCCCCAGTCCCTCTGAGCAGCTGGTTTCCATACTTTACCCTCAATTTGGATGAAGCCTTGGGTGAGATGGTTTAGTGTAAGGTGTCCCTGCTCATGGCAGGGGGGTTGGAACTGGATGATCTTAAGGTCCTTTCCAACTCAAACTATTCTATGATTCTATGCTTCTAATTTTTTCCCCATATATTTCAACAGATTTTCTTGTGCCTCTTGTCCTTGCAGTGGATACCACTAAGAGTCTGTCTGTTTCCCAGCTTCCCACAGCTCCTGTTCCTTTACACACACGTGTAAGCCTCAGGAATGAGCAAGGCCTAGCATGGTACGGGCCCAGAGCAGCAATAATCTATGCAGAGGTAAGTCTTGGTGCTAACAACACCCATAGGGGAACTGGAAACACAGAGTCTGTGGTCACTGGCTATTTCTGACTGTTGTGTCTCACTTGACTTGCTTGTACATCAAAACATATCTGAGCACCAGCAGACACATTTATGGCAGGTATCTTTACTGTGCCTTAATCAAGAAGCGAAACTTTGCCTTCTTCTTGTGAGCTTTGCCCTTCGTTTGTCTCTCTGGCATATGGGCAGCAGAAGGTCCCTGCTTCCGACAGAGTGAAGGAATTTTACATATGGTTTAATTACATTAATCAGCAGCAAAGGGAAGAGTTTGCAAGGGGACAGCTGAATCCCACTCATGGGTTCAGTGAACGTCTGCCCAGGACCCCAGCGCTGTGCCATGTCTCACAGTGACATTTTGCTCCAGCCCGGAGGACAACTGTTCTGACAAAAGTCCATCCCTTGGTGTCTCTCCATGCTGGGAACCTTTCTGGGAATGACAGCATGGGGAATGTGTGGCTTCTCAGTCTGTTGTCTTAGCTTTGTGCTCTGGGACAGGGAATTGACAACAGGATCAGTGTTTCCTAATTCCAGATTCATATTCTCTTCTAATTTCAAAACTTAGAGGCTAATGTCTTCTCTGGCTGTTGTCTTCATTAAGTCTATGGTGAGTCTGAACATAGAATCATAGAATAGTTAGGGTTGGAAAGGACCTTAAGATCATCCAGTTCCAACCCCCCTGCCATGGGCAGGGACACCTCACACTAAACCATCTCACCCAAGGCTTCGTCCAACCTGGATTTGAACACTGCCAGGGATGGAGCATTCACAACCTCCCTGGGCAACCCTTTCCAGTGCCTCACCTGATACATCCTTTGGCAAGTACCTGGATATTCTCTTTCCCATCTGTTGGGCTGTCCTAATCCCTTCAACACATGCACATTACTCAAGTTGTACTTAAGGCTTTCCACAGCTCTTGTGGGTTCACCATCACTTCAGAGCCTTATTTATATTAGTAGCATCACCCTGGTTGTCACCCAATGGGAAGTGTTTTTGTATGCAACCCCCCAAGCAGACATGAAAGACCATGTCAGGACAATGGAGGGGGGCAGAAGATGTTCTTCCTTTGCCTGATTTACATTGTATGTTTGAAAGCGTGTCCCTCCTGCGACAGTCTGCAGTGAATAAACAAAGTTCCTGGGGAAATGGTATGCGGTGTTCAAACACTTTGCTGAACTTTCATGTTCTGTGAGTTGTAAGGAAGTGACTACAAAAGCCTTGGAAGAGCAAAGGAAGAGAGTTAGCTCAAGGCAAGGTGATATTCCCTCATTAAAATCTATTTGTGCAAAGTTAAGACGTCAAAGGAATTTCACATGTTCCAAGAGGGTATGAAAGCCCATGTTATTAGGGATCAGAAGGGACTTGGGAGTCCTATTTGCTGAAGAGGAGGGTGTAGTGAAAGAAGGGAGAAGAAAAAAAGAGGAAAAATAAATGTATTTGAGCATTTAATGTTATCTGAAAAGAATAATAAATTCAACTGCCTTAAAACAACAACTTCTGGTACCCGAGTGTGGATCACAGAAAACATTTTTAAGGGAGAAATGGTCTTCACAATATGGGCTGAGATTCTGCATGTGGCTTTTCAAGCCACGCTGCTGCACACGCAGACAGACACCCACAGTCCAGCTCCAAGGGCAGCCAGCCTTCTGCCACTTCACCCTATTTTATAGAAGGTGAATGAGGTTTAAGAGCAGGTTATTAACCCTTCGATTATCCAGATGTTTGCCTGTGTGGATGGTGTGTGCCCCAGAACCCTGGGATCACAGGCAGGGTTAGGATGAGATATTTAACCTTAAACCCGGCACTTCCTTGATTTTCACAGCTCAGTGATGACAGCATCAGGGTTTTTTACAACGCAAAGACCAAACACTCCTCGGGTGCAAAATCATTGGTGACTGTAGGGGTTTGGCCCTTTAAACAGAGGGGTTTGGGCAGAATCAGCGATTCAAAGCTGCCTGAGCAGAGACTGTGGCAAGGAATGCTATGTAGTCAGTCTGCTCCTCGCTGCTAGTGAGTAGAGGGGGAAATGAAAGTGGTCCTTTGATTCTGCACATCATGGTGTATTTGCCATCTGCAACAGTGGGAAAAGCTGCTATAAATACTAGTCTGAAGTACTAATAATCCTGCCTCCAGGCAAAATAGCTTTGGCTGCTGGTGGGGCATGCAAGTGAGCCAGACTGCAAAATTAAACAGCATTCACTGTGCCAGCAGTGACCTTTTCCTGTGCCTCTTTCCAAGTGCTGTGTGCTCAACAGGACGTGCTGTGGGACCTGCTTGGGAAACTCATCTAGTGCCTCAGTGTTGCGGTGGGGAGAGGGTGGCAGCAGATGGGATTGCAGTAGCATGCACAAGAATGGAGTTAGGAGAGCTCAGTTTATGACCCTCAGGGGCCCTGCTCCATGAGTGGTAACTGCTGAGGATGTGCATAGTGCTCACTGCATGCTTTTTTCTTCCTCTTTCCCTGAGAAATCAGCAGAAATCTCCTATCTCTGCCTGGGCTGGCCTGTCCATCTGTTCTGATGGCTTCTTTTATCACCAGCAGCCATGTGAAGAATGACCACATTAAAAGGTAAGGCTCTCTTTTTGTGCTGCTAGTAGACAAGGCCCTCCCCCAGGTTTGCATTAATGGAGAGTGGCGACGTGGCCACGCACTGATTGCATTTGCTAATGTTAATCACCAAGGGGCCAGGCGAGGTGAAGAAGTGAACTATATTTTATTCAGTTTGACAGAAGGAGGAGTTGAATGGAAATCATTTTTATCTCTGGTTGTGGCCAACCTAAATTAATGCTACCTCTGGTGCTGAAAGGCTCAGGAGAGCAGATGTCTGTATTTTATATGCTGTTCTTGGTAGGGGTACCAAAGCACACGTCAGACTGTGCATTAACTTAGGGACAAAGCTGATCCCTGTCCCTGGTTGCATGGCCTTTGCAGCCTGGAAGGTGAAGATGTAAGGAGTGAAGTCATGGTTTGGTTTTGCCAGCTTGAAACAAGGACAGGTCACTAGGGCTGGATTTCAAGTGCTGGAGAAGTGGATGGCAGGTCCTTTGCCATGACACACACAGAGGGAAAGCGAGGAGGGAAGATGCTTTAGCAACTCTTTAGCAGAACACTGATTAATTGTTGAGCACCCGTGACTATGAGGCCCATCCTGCCAGGCATGTAGACCCTCAGCAGCCTCCTCAGACTAAACCAACACAGACCAGGTTGAGGGCTGCATGTTGGGCTGTTCCCCAGACGCACCCAAACCTTGCAGTCTAAGTAATACTGCAAGCTTTCAAGGCTTAAATAGGGGGTGAGGTATTGCAGAGGATAGATACTGCTGCTGCTGTGCCCAGGTGGGGGAGAAGTTACTAGAAGCCTGGCAAGGACCTTGTTTCTAACTTCCCTGCTGTGAATTCCTTGCCAGTGGATCCAGGGTGCTGCTTGCCCAAGCAAGCAGGAGAATGGCCAAACCTGGTAGTACCCAGGCACCAGAAGCCCTTTCCTGCCTTGCATCTTGCATGTTTTTCTTAGGAAAGCATCTTATGTTTGCATCTTGAAGCTTGCATTTACTTCTCAGAAAAAGAAACACTGTGCTACTGATAGATGAAAACAGAGCAGTGACTGGAAAGGGAGAGGATAGAAGAGGCTTGGTGAAATCTACCCAGTGAATGAAAGAGAGATGGGCAGGAGAGCGAATGGGAAAGCAAATGTGATAACAGGCAGAGTGTGGTGAGCAGTGCCACGCACCCACCTATGGGTAGGATGCTGGGAGCCAAGCCAAGAGGCACTGCGAGCACGTTTCCATTTCTTTATTCTCTGTATCATGCTCCTCTTCTCATTTCAGGGTCTGATCAAGTCTGACTATTGTCACCCCTCTTTGCTCTATAGACACCTATTAATGTTGACAGTTTAGGTGGCTGGGGGATGTGGTATTAGTACTGACAAATGCTGGTAATTTGCAGGCAATGTTTTCCCTCTAGCACCAGTGGGAAATCACCTAACCTTTGCCAATAATTCTTAACATAACTCACAAAACCTCATCTTCCATCATTATGAAGAGCGGCGCTTCTGAATATTATCAGCTGCTTCTTGTATGCCTCCATGCTAGACTATACAGAGGAGGTGATATTAATCAGTGTGTGAGGCCCACTGTAGTATGAAGGATTCTCTTGCAAGATCTTTTTACCATATGCTCTCTGATATTAAGCTTACTTCATTATGCTTTCAGATCTCTTATTTTTTGTCGACCTGTCACTTAGCTTTAACTATTTTTTAGCTGTTATTATTATATCATTCTCTTTTTAAACCATAATTTGCTTAACATGGCCATGGAGAGCACTTGTATATGTTTATGCTTTAAACCAACACTGATTCATCAATAACTGGTGGACTGGTGTAACTGGCGCAGGTCTGAAGGCTGCAATGGGAACACTGAGCTAAGTCTGACCCGCCATCCACACACTGAAGCACAAGTAGAAGATTTTCACAAGTGCTGAGTTTAGAGCAGCTTCTGTGGAGCACACATTGAGCTGTGGCCATTGGAGTCTGGCAAATCTTGCCTTAATTTTTCCAAAGGAGAATATACAAAGAAATGGCACTGATTGATAAGAAATACCCTGGCATTGCGCTAAGCCGCGGAACCTCCCGAGTTCAACTGCAGCCCAATCTTATTTTGCAGGGGCTGAAGCCAAACAATGCTGATAGCAACTGTCTTTAAAGTGAAATTAAAATGTAATGAGGGTGGGAGGCAGGGACAAGCTAGCATGGACCATCTGAGCTGTTGCAATTCTAGCATTCATCAGTGCCGCCGAGAGCGGCGAGCGGCTGGTGTGTTATTGATGCAGGGGGAGAGGCAGGTTATTGCATTATTGACATACAGTAGGTGGAGAAAGATTACCATGTTAGCAGTGCTACAAGGAGAGAGATTATCCAAACGCAATAAGCCATTGTTACAGCAACGACATTTTTCCACACCCTCCCCCCTCTTCTTATCCCGTCCTTTCCACCTCCTGCCTGCATAATATGAAAGGTCAGTAATATCCAGACAGATGGTTGGGAGGGTTTATGGAAAGGGGCTGCTTTCTTTGGTCATTTTTCTGAAATGGTGATTGTGCTCAGAAAGGAAAAAAAAAAAAAAGAAAGAGAAAGCATTTGGGTTTTCTGACTGGGATTAACTCATCCGAATGCTGTACTAGGCAAGAGAGAATTTGGGCTGGGAGATTGTCCCTTTCACTGACATCTGTGCTACTCTACATGACAGCTCTGAGAGGCACAGCTGCACCATAGGCACTGGAATAACCAGGGGATAAATGCCACTGAATTTGGGCTCTTTATGTAATAGATAACTTTACTAAATCCTCTTTTGATGTAAAAAAGGGGCTGTAAACTTTTTGAGGAGGGTCTCTGCCATGCACTGATCCTCAAAGGACTCTGCTCCCTCATTGAGAGAGTGTTTAGCTCTCAGGTTCACTTTTTCTTTTCTCGTTGAAACCTGTCTCCTCTTATATTTCAGTTCCCTGGATTCAGTTCTGTCTTCATCTGGAGCTGCTTGTTTGCTCTTATTATACATAATTGAGTAAAATCATTACCCACTGCAGAGAAAGTGACTCGCTGTGTAAAATACCCTCCCCAGGAAAAGCATCAAGCTGTGCTCATGGGTCAGCTCTGCAGTTCAGAGAAGTTCATGCCAAGATTCCCCATCCATGGCTGCGAGCTCTGGAGCTGGCCTGAAAGTGATCAGCTCATATCCTCTTGGATTTAATTGGGTTACAGGGATGACTTCTGATCCCTGATCCCCAGGGAAGGAGCCACAAAGATTGCCGCGTCTGCAGCAATCTCATCTGCCCGTGGCTGCAGTCAGGGGGAGAAGAATGGCTGCTTAATCAGAAGCACAATCTAAAAATGTCACATTATTATTTATGAAGTGTTTAATAATCACACCACAATCATCGGATGCACTGAGGTGGAAAACGAAAATGTAATTTTTCATATAATATATACGAATTCTGTTATTTTGGGAGGAAAAAAACCCACCACCCGAAGTAAATTGTTTCCTCTAATTTGAAGAATAGAGTTTGTGCTCGCCTTGCAACAACACCTCATTTCTGTGAGGATCAGAAGTCACACAGCTGGGGCAGTCCTGAATTTAGCAGCCTGGATCAGCTAGCCGTGCCCTTCTGCTCTCCACATCCATCACTCCTTGCTGGTATAAAACCCTGCAAAGTTCCTTCATCCCTGAGCATCGCAGCCCAGGCACTGGATTGTCTCTGAGCAGCACACTGAGAAGTTCAAACCTGGTACTGTCTGTGAATACTAACAACAATCTACAGCTTTTAGATAACACTATAGTATAACGGTGTTTCCAGCTGGGATAGAGAAACAGCTCTCTCATAAAAAACACTGATGTAGGGGTGGCTGAAGGGCAAACTGCTTTTGGATAGTTGTAGGGATAGAAACCAAGCGGGTACAGGGAGCATCTCTGCTGTGGGCATGATGCTGGAAAACGTGAAAGGTTTCATGAGAAAGGCAAGCAGGCCACTGAGGGAGAAAAAGGAACGTGGAGTGTTTCCAAACAGAAATAAATCTGATTTATTTATTGATCTAATTTATTATTAGATGTGTCTGGTTTCGCCTGTATATTTCACTGAACGTCTTTTCCATCTTTATGTCTTTCCCTTTGTGACCAGGGAAGTATTTTGTAGAACTTCAGCTTAAAAACATAAACCCTGATCTCATCCTTTCTTTCCAACCTGCCCTTGTCTTTAGTGATGTCTTTCTTCGCCTTTGTATTTTCAGATCATGGCTCTTAGATGGAGTTGAGCTGAGCTGCTCCGTGTCCTGTCGCAGGGGAAGGGGGTTCAGAGCACGTTATTCCTCCAAGGCTGATGCCTTTTGCTGCCTCCTCGTTTGTGTGCCAGCATGATCAGCAATGGAACACAGCCGAGGGGATGGCAGAGCCCAGGCATTCAGCTCTGCTCAGGAATTTATGCTCCCTCTGTTGGCTGCTTGGCTCTGGAGCAGTGGAGTTCAAAGTGAACGCTGTTAGTTTATGTCAGGCAGGCAGAGTTTCTCTACTTCTAATGCCTGGTGGCCAGCAAGGCAGTTTGGGAGGGCCCTGTCAAAATAAAGGGTCTATTGCTTCAAGAATTTGATTACCCAGTTGCTTCTGAATGTGGTTGTGGATAACTCATTGAAACACTTCAGTCTGGGGTATGTGTGGGAGGAACAGCACAAAGCTGAGGTCTCTGTAAGTCTGAGCAGCCTCAGGTGCACTCCAGCTCATCCCTAGGACAAAGAACCTTCCTGACATGGGGGGGCAGACATGACCCCACATTTGTCATCTGTGCCTTGGGCCTGGTTGTGGTGCAAAGCCTGGTGCCTCTGCAGTGATGCTCTCAGCTCACCCACAGCTTCCCCCACAAACACTTGCAGCAGCATTCGGTCTGCATCTCTCCTCATACTCTGCTCCTAACCCACCCCATGGGTGTATAAGTGATGGCATGGGGAGGAAGACAACACAGCCCCATCCAGACATATATTTCACATAGCTTCCCATGTATCATACCATCTCTGTTGATTAATGCAGT